CTCCTGGCATCGCTACTAGGAGCAAGGACGCTACTAGGGGCTCCTGGCATCGCTACTAGGAACAAGAAGCTACTAGAAGCTCCTGGCCTCGCTACTAGGAGCAAGGACGTTGCGAAGGCTGCCAGGAATCGGGACGCGATACTGGCAAGGAAGGCAAGCAACCGCCGGGCTTGGCCCATGGTAACATAATGAGACATTGCCTGGCAAGCATCTTCCTTGATTTGTAAAGGCCTGGTAGGTGGGCGCATAGGTAGACTTGTTGAGCTGTATTTCTCTTGTTGTTTAAAAAGGGAAAATATGTCTTTATATATTTATAAGCATGTATGTGTGTATATATATATATACGCAGTACTGGCATACCTACATAGTGAGAAACTGATTCCGGCCGCGGCGCCAGCATGTGCAAGAACAATACACCAAAAAAACGACACCTTTTTGTTGCGTTAACTATGCGTCTTCACAAGATCTGGTCACTGGCAGGACTCAACACAGCTGCAACTGACGGCAGGTCCTCCAGAGACAATGTGTATCGAGGAATTGGCTCACCAGGGCGAAGCCTAAAGGCAGGAATCTTGACACCATTTTCGGCCCATGGAGGAAAGCTCTAAACAAAATTGAGACAAGTTCTTAAGTTCTTCAAGAAGAACAGTATCAAGCGCTGCATTCAAGTGGCACAAGCGACTACATTAACAGAAGGACTCATGTCATGGTCCAGGTGAGGCTGGTTGAAAGGTTTCTCAACCTTTGGGATCGTGGCACTCTGTTACTTGTTGCAGGACACATTGCCATATAGGGTTGGTATATAAGACAACCTGCTCGCTAACAAATGACTGCACCCCCCCGCTCCCTCCTCATGAACAGACTGGTGGCCCTTCCTCGTGGAGAAGTTTTCTCTTTGCTTGGGGTGCCCCCCGTGATCCCTCCTCGTGGAAAGATTTCATCTTGGCTGATGAAAAGATTTACTCGTGTGATAAATTTTGTTTTGGGCAGCGCGCAAACGTGACGACATGTCAACGTGACACCACGGAAGCATATCAGCGTGACAACATGGAGAGAAAGCGTGTCTGCCAAGTGCTCCGGAACTTGCCCCGGAACTTCCACCAGAACCTCATCCGGAAGCTCCGGAACCTCCTCTGCAGAACCTGCTCCAGCACCTCCTCCCCACCTTGCTCTGTAACCTGCTCCAGAACTTGCTCCGGGACCTGTTCCGATCTGTTCTCTGCAAATGTAGCCGAAATTAAGCCTAGTCGTGTGGAGGCAAATGCCCAACAACTGTAATTGAATCTTAGACGGTTGCTTCTCATGTCGAAGTCCACGTAGAGGCACTCTCAAGTAGGTATTCCTTGCTTCAAAACAAAACATGTGAGGATGTTTCCAAGTGCAACAGCTGCCAAAAAGGTGAGAGTCTCTGCTCTTTCATGTAAAACAGCAAAGACTCTTTTTGAGGTGCAGGTAGCTTTGACCTGATGAAATCGGACAAAATTGACACATGCACAAGGCTTTCAGAAGAACGTCAAACTCTCAGAGCAAAACCAGCACGATTCTTTTCCAAATCAGCACCGTCGCCAACCACCTGAAACTTGCAGTCGGAGTAGCTGGTGTTGAATGAGTGGGCTTGCCACCTCAATCCCGGTTGGCAAGCAATTCTTGGTGAAGCGAAAATCCTGGCAAGGTCTCAACAAAGGAAATGCCAAATTTGTACATCAAATACGTGGCACTGGAACGTTGAAGCTGCTGTCACCAGAATAACCAGTAGCGTCCCGTGTCACCTAATCCAAGAAGTACAGGCTTGGCAAGCCAAGCTTAAAGTAAAGATCGATTAGCAAAGTGCTAGCAAAGCTCATTGTATTCGATGTCGGACTTAGGCGTGCGCGCGCTCAAGTGGCCGCAGTCTCGTGTTTGCTACTCGCTTGGTGCGACCGTCCTGGATCTCTCCAACAAAACGAATCAGATTGAAGACATTTCACACAAAATGTCCCACAGGAACACCGAGTTCGACTTATTTGTCCAAGTTACCTCATACTTTACATTTGTCTCGCTTTCACCAAGTTCCAAGATCACCTTGGCACCATCACGACTAAATCCTCAGAGAGTCTAGAGCGCTAATGCACTCTGGGGGACTCCGATGCAGACTTTCTTCTTCTTTTTTCTCTTGGTATCCTGTCAAGTCGAAGGCTGACAAAGTCGAACAGTCCTCAAAAAGGCTTAATAAGACAAAATAAGACAAAATGACACGCTTCTTTGGCTTAGGAGAGCTTTGCGTGGCCGTTATTGTTTCCCTCCTACTGGGTTGCAGAAGGGACCCGGCCGGGAAGGGACTGTAGCGCGGTCTGCTGACAACGGATCAAACACTAATTACGCAAAAACACGAACGACCGGCGAATTACGAAGAAAACGCTTTGTGAAACTGACCTGCTGCCATCCTGGGACACAAATAAAAATAGTGGCCAGATTTGCTTGAGCGCCTGGGGTCTTTCGGCCAACCAATTGGCGACCATCACTGTCAAGAAGCAGGTGACTTGAAGTTTGAGGTGGTGGCAGCAGTGATGAGAAGCTTTTTCCTGCGGCAATCAAATCTCTTCCATACATTTCTTTGTCAGAGTTGACCCTGTGTTTTTTGGCCTGAAGCAGCCTTCACAAATAACCCAGTGTTACTGAGGATGGATGGTTGATCGCCACTACATTGAACAACATGAGAAAGGCAGATGACGTGCCAGAGAGCTGCTTTTCACTGCTTTGCTTGGAAATCATACCATTTACTTCTACAGTATGCGGTGAAGCACAAGGATTTTCGACAGCTGCAGGCCGAACGGGTGGATGGGTTCAGTTGGAACAACCCGAAACGGTTCTTCAAAGAAGGTCCCCCATAGGCATCACTGACTGACTTCCCTAGGCAACAGAGGGGTGCTTGACGATAAGAGGACAGATAATTGACATTGCGATCATTAGATAGTCTATCCAGCGAACTAGATTAGAACCAAGGTGCGCCCAACATCATCCATGATAGCAAATGCCATCACCAAAGATCATGCAGAACCAGTCGATTTGCTACGTGCAATTCTTCACAGTGCCAACTATCAGTTAGCGGCTAGCGGAAGAGCAAGTGATGCTAGACTGGACAGGGGAAGGAAAGACATGCAAGAGCTTGCAAGATGCCCTTTTGACAGAGGAGTCATTTTGCGTGTTGTCACAGCCGGAGAATGGACAATGGCCTCTTTAAAGATGTCAGTCACTCCGGAGCTCGCGGGAGCCTGAGCAATCGCTCGTGCAAGTCAGTGTGGTGTCACCAAGACTGGTTCTTCATCCTGTGGAGCTGTCAGCGAAGAGGCTTCGAGATCACCCACGGCCTGATGCGGATGAATCGGAGCCAGTGACCTATGCTGAAGATCCAAAGCAGTTATATTACAGTATATACAAAGAGCTGACCGAGAATGCCTCCTTTCGCTCTTACCTAGTGGAGTGCATCAGCGTGGAAAGAATTGTGGCGGAAGGTTCAAAGACTTGTCGAACTACCACAGTGTCGGTGGGTTCACACAATCCTGCTGCTGCCCCGAAAGTGTGGAAAAACGTGAGAAGAAGAGGTCATGTAAAGTTGAGATGAAAGACTTTAGTTCGAGCATTGCTGTGTCAGTTACAGGTGAATTGATGCTTTGTTCATTAAGAGAGAGAGAGAGAAAAAAAAAAAAGAAACGAGAGTTGTTGGAGTGTTCAAGCAGTGCATTCACAACAGCAGCATCATCATGTAGGCATCGTGCATTCGTTAGGCAACTTCGTGGCTCGGGCTCAGGAGGGCTGAAAACAGAAGCAGCCGATCGGGGTGGGATCGGTGTTTGATCGACTGACCCTGCTTTCTAATATGTATATATAACGTATGTATGTATCATATATAATACATACTCATATATATATATACATAGGCACAAACTACACTCACTCAATGTCCTTGGTTGAATTTCATTGAAGGCTCTACCAAACAGCTCTAAGTCCGACATCACTATCAAGTGCATGCAACTCCCAACTCAAGCTCCTTTTCCTCCCTGCCGTTCATCGTCAATCAAAATCAAGGCTACTCTTCACTGTGACAAAAAAGAACATGTGTCTCCAAACTTAAGCCAAAAAACAACCAAACAAATAGTTGCACGAACCATTGAATTCTAAATGCTGTAAAACAAAATGCTATTCTACTATATTCTACTCAACTTCTGAAGCAAGCTTTGCAGGGTGCTTCTTTATAGGCAAGCGATGCCTCCAATGTCAAATATGCGGAGTTTCAGCGCACTCACTTGCTTCCCAGAAGCTGCCCGGAGAACTGCTCCTCATCAAGTCTGGAAGTGTCTCAGATCGAGCTGCAACCAAGCTGCTTGTATGTGTAACTACTGTGAGACGCCAATATACTCTTTTTAGCACGGAGCTGTCCTGACACTTGAGCATCTTGCTGACAGTGGCATCTCCACAAGAACTCAACTGGTAGCGGTGTGCAAAGCAGCTAAAGAAGTCCTGGGACAAAGCTACAAATCTCTGGAGCCAATAGACGTCTTGGCAAAAAGTGTTTTGATGAAAAAGCATCCCAACACTCCTCCACATGAGCTGAGCACTCACCCTTGACAGCACTCGCAACACCTTCCACTGCTGCCTGCCAAGTCAGTCTCCTTTGGGGAAACAGTTGACATTGCTTGACAATCAGTCTATCAAGTGGCTTTGTCCAAAAAAATACGAACCCCAGATAGCAAAAGATATTTGTGGGCAAAGCGGACACTTCCAACTGATCTCTGGAAATTCATTCCGGCCTTTCGCTCACCAATGCAAGCTCCAGTCCCTTTCTCCTGCGAAACTGATGTGCAGTAGAAAGCAACTTCGGTTCAATTCATCTGATATAAGCTTATCTTTAAACTTTTGAAGAAGAAAACATATCCAGTTCTTGACGGGGAAGACAATCCTCGCCTTCACGCAGGCCCTGAAGGTTCGGATTGCGGCCTTGGTGTCATTCGCCGTCATTCGGACTGCGCTACCTTCCTTCAGTCTGCTTTCGCTTGAGCCAGCTTGAGGAATTGCACATGTTGTCCCAGGTTCCATCACATGCACAAAAGCTCTTGCTCAGCGATGTTCAAGCTTGAGCTTTTTAGGCTTGTAAAAGCACACGGATCGCACCTCCACACGCATATTGACCCGAAGGGGAACTCGCACGCGCTCCTGCGCGGGCTTGATTGAGAAATCTGCAAGTGCTTCTTTACTGGGACAATTCTCCTCCTCCTCCTCCTCTTCTTCTTCATCACTACCTTCGTTCTCCAAGTTCATTGCCACGTCAAAGCAACGTCAGGTACAGGTACACACCAAACAACAAAAACTGAATCTCTAACTTATAGTTACTTGATACATACAATTTAGAAAGAGCTTTCTTGGGTCAGTACCTGGGTTTCCAACAACAGCTCAACAAAACTCTTGAGGCTTGAGGACTGGATCTGTTGTGGCAGCCGATTCGCCTTTGTCTACACTTTCCTTGTCGCTTTCATCATCTTCAACAACTGTCAGAGAAGCACCTTCAATAGACCACAACACAAGCTAAGAATGCAAACAGCAAAATGGATGTCTGCGAGAACAGTGTGTAAGCAAAATCCGTCCTGGAAGAGAAACTTCCGGTCCGTCATGAACGTTCACAACCTCAGAAGAAACAGAAAAAGAGTCCAAATCATCAAGGTTTTAAGACATCAGGTCAAGACTTTGAAGCAGATTTTGTGAGCGCGGGTCATCAACACACCAAGGAAAACAAATCAAACTAAGCTCTGAGCGCAAATCTGTCGAGCTTTGTCGTCACCCGGATGAAAGCGAACCGACTGAGGCAAAGCATTTAATTCTAATTCTAATAGTAGCTTCTTGTTTCTAATAGCAAGCATTGTTCCTAGTAGCCTAGTAGTACGGCCAGGAGCCCCTAGTAGCGTCCTTGCTCCTAGTAGCGATGCTCTTTGCTCCTAGTAGCGTCCTTGCTCCTAGTATACAAGAAATGAATACAGTCCACAAATGTGTCTGCACCAACCTTGACAACGCCGTTCTTGCCAAGAACTCCCATGAAACTTCCTTCCCACGTCATGTCCACAACCTCCGAGAAGTAATTTGTCATTTCGACTTCGATGTTTGGACAACACATCAGGATGCGGAAAGCCACACCACACAAATGAAATTAAGCTGCAGCTAGGGTTTATCCATTCAACAATCAAGACACATCAGCAATTTGCATGTGTTCTTACGCAATAGAGAATCTGTTGTCTCCCAAAACCCAATGCACCTCCAAGTGTTTTTTGACTTCTGCCATACTGCCGGCAATGCCTCAGCAGGAAAGACTTTCTTGACGCGGCACAAAAAGGTCGAGTGCAGCCGTGGAACGCACACAATCTCCCACAAAAAGTTCCGATTCCTCTTCTTCATCCTTCTCCTGCGGGGGTCTTTGATGCTTGATAGACTCAAAGGCTGTTTTAATTCCATCCTTGCCTTCTTTTCCCCCTCACCATCCTGCAGAATAATACACAACGCCTTTCCTAGAACAAAAATGTGCGAAGGACCATGTTCCTTGCCTCCGGCATGCTTGAACAAAGCAATCGACCGCCAGGCAACAGCTGCTTTGGGCCGACAGGGTGCAAGGAATCTGGTTTGCAACAAAACCCGAGAAGTGAGGGGCAAACACTTACAGCAACGTGCTTCACTCACGAAGCTCCAATAAGCTAAGTGCTCCCGCACCAACCCCCTGATAATACACTTCGTTCGCAAGATTCACTGAAGTTGTTCGGAGATGCATCTGCAGTGTCCTTGTCCTATCACTACAACCAGCTTTTCGGAGGTGCCCTCTTTTACTCTGAGACGGCCTCCAAACAAACTACACAAGGACAATAATAACAAATCCTCCTTAAGGCCTTTTCTGGGGGCACTTTTCCAAAGTGTCCTTTCTTGTTGCCGCTTTATCCGCGGCTCCCTCTTGATCTAGGTCTAGGTCTGTAAACACACTGTCTTTCCATGCCTGCATCGACATTTCATCGCATCTGCCATGTCCTGTTTTGTCAAGGACCTTATCGCCAGAATAGGCTTTTCGGAGGTGCCCTCTTTTGACACCAAACAGCCGTCAAACAAGGCACACAAGGTCACCAACGAAAACTCTCCCTAAGGCCTTTTCTGGTGGACTTGGTGCTGGAACCCACTTTTCCAGAGATGCCTTTTTTGCCCCGAGACGGCCCTCAAACAAAGCCCAAAAGGACATCAACCAAGAAACTCCCTGCACCAGGCCCAGTGTGTTTTTCCAACACGTGCGTCAACAACTCCTCTCACGCAGCAGCAAAAACTCCCGCGCTTTACGAATTTCCCCGGATAAATCTGCAAAAATCATCTCAAGCAGCGGCTCGCCAGATTGGGCTACAGCAAATTGAATTGCTGCATCTGATGTCCTGCTGTGTGAAAGGTCTTATCGCTTGAACCGGCTTTTCAGAGGTGCCCTTTTTTGCTTCGAGATGGCCTTCAAACACCCACAAAAATGCACCCACCCAGACAAGCGGCCTTCCTGCATTGACAAGTCATTGTTGCCCTGTCCCACTTTGTCAGGGGCCTTCTCGCTAGACCTCTGCATCCAGATCTCTGTAAATCACACTCACATTATTTTTCCTCTAACGCATGGCTCGACTTCAAACGCACGGCTTGACTCCACGAACAAAAACAAAACTACTGTATACCTGAGAAGGGGGGGACGAAAGCCAGCAGCCGCCAGACGAGTGTCTCTTTTTCTGGCGGGCGTCGCGGCGCAAGACACATGGCCGGCAGCTTGCGAGCCAGCGGTGCCGCGGATGCGGGGGGGCGTATGTAATGGTGATGGAGGGAGCAGAGAAGCAAGCCGGGCGGCTTTGGGAAAGAGAAATGCCATACGTTGTGTGTTGTGTTGGTGTAGGTCATCATCACAAAGCAATGGCATGTGTTTGTCACACGCAGAAAGGTATGCATCTTATGGAAGTTGGAAGGCGACATCAGCGTTAGCGAAGGGGAAATACCGTCTGAGTTCGAGTGGTGGGATACCACGCGCGCGCCGCGCGCGCGCAGAAAGATCTTCTCCATAGTGAGCGTCGCCGCGGGAGTAGGGCATGCATTTGAATAGAAGCAACTGTGCATTTGTTACATTTGGAGTGTTTGAAGTTTGCAATGCATACGGCGGCACGTCGAAAAGCGGCATTCGTTGGTTTGGAAGAGTGAACGGGCACGTCTTGGCCGGGACACGGACGTTTTGATCCCGCGGCGCAGAAGGGGAGGTCCAGCGGGAGTAGCTTGGGCTAGCAAAGGAGTCAGGATTTGTGTGCCTATCGATGCACATGCCTGGACTTGAGTGGGTCATGTTCTGGCTCGATCTAAACCACAATCTTTTTCCTCTAAAGGGGCCTTTATTAAACAATCCAAATGCCAAACACCTTCTTTACTCTTCTCTTTCCTATCAACTCTGCGCCTTTCTCACTCAGAGGCCTTGACTTTGGCACCTGCGTGTGCAGATCTTTGGGCCGTAGACCCAGGCTGACTGGATTCGGCCAGGGCCGCCAGCAAAAAGGCGACGTCATGAGTCAGTAGTATAATATCTATCTATCTATCTATCTATCTACCTACCTATCTATCTATCTATCTATCTATCATCTGCACCGGCAGTGCGTGTGGACGCCGCAAGAAGCATCCACTCAACCGAGGACATGGTGCAAGTATAGTTTTTGCTAGGGAGAAAAAACCCTATGCGGATATGTAGTCAACCTCGCAGGCATCCCCACCGAAGCTCAATCCAAATTCATGGACTTGAACTCATGTCACTTTCGGTTCTCTATGGATTTCGCGAGTTACGGGTTGTCCTGGGAACTCGTGGCTGCAGTCTGCTCTGTACGTGGGTCTCTGTCTCCACTCGAGTGCTCAATGCCCATTGTCCACATAGCCTCCAAAGCCCTTCATGATGCTAATGATGCACTACTTGGCGTCATCATAAAGTGTTGCCATACTGGAACCGACAATTTGCCAAAACACACCAAAACACATTTCAGCCTAGCCTACCGGCTGGCTTTCGTAAAAGACTGTTTGGCAATTGCATGTTAAATCGGATTAAGTACATTTTGGGTTTGGTTCATCCGGCTATCCGTAAGCCATCTAAGCTGCATGTTTCAGTGAGGGAATCGGCTGGGTTGGGCCCTATGGCATTTTGAAAAATGTTAATGTGACATAATGTGTCTAGATAAATGTGCGAGAATTTCCAACACACAATCCTTGAGGAGATTTGTTTTCTTGAGTTGATGACAATATCACTGTGCGACTATTGCAACAAGTCAAGTTGAAGCGATGTGAAGCGAACTTGAAAGCTTCGGGCGGCCATGGCGGTGGTGACCTTTCCTGTGATGCTTTGTGTCTCGTTACGTTTGCCCACTCCTAGAACTGATGGCGGTGGGTGCCAAGCATGTTTGATCACTCACCCTCCAGAGCCCACTTTACACATGGACATTACTTCCACGCTCACGATAAATATGTGCATCCCTGCTGCGTGAGCAAGGTGTGCGGGTTTTTGTTGACAATGTCATCTCCTCTGTGCTTTGATGTTGAACCTAACAGTTACCAAAGAACAAAAGGAAATATCCGTTCGTTGGCATTTTGATGCAACGAAGTGGGTTCTGCAAAACAACGATGATTTTCTTGACACAATGTAGTTGCGAGGTGGGTGATATACGATATACTCTTTTGTCTCTTTGGGTCCATGCTTTCAGCCAACTCCAAAGCTGCGCCTGGCAAGTGGCAAATTGATGAATCTTGGAAAATGCACATGCCATGCGGCCTTGCAAACAACTCATTGAAAACGATCAAGTAATTTGCAAAGAACTTGCACCCTTCACTCTGGTTGGCTAGCTGAAGTTCGTGTAGAGGATTCACTGCTTCGAGTGTCTTCTTTCTGTAATCCTGTCAAGGGTCTTACAAACCCCTTTTGTTTACACCTTGGATGAATGAACGGAGCATGCACACACCATACTTGCACTGTGCATGTGTTCATGCTCCTGAGAATTGGCTCCGCGTCTACTCTTTTCTTGGGGATGGAGAGTATATATTTGTTGAGTGCGACTAAGCTCTTGAACTGTCTGGTCAATTGACCAATTGGAATCCTGTCAACTCAATTGCGTTATCGTTGAAAGATTGGTTTGTTGTCAAATTTGTTGGTGCGTTGATTAGTTGCTCCTTGGTTTGCCGCTTGATGATTGAAATGGACAATCGTGCAGTGTATCTCAGGGACTATTGCGTGAGCATCTTGAGGTTGCAAATGTTTAAGTTTGTACTTGGTGTGTTTCCGTTGTGCTACATTCTCATCCAGAATATGTTGTTGGAGAATTTCCGACGTGTGACACAATTCCAAGCACACCAGGCACACCCTCAGAGGTAGGAACTGCGGAAGATGATGTAAAGCATCTGTTTAATTGCTGCCAGGCACCGTTGTCTGTGTTTGTGAGGATGCCGTAGTGTGCCCTTGTGCGAGTCCATTATGGTGCATTCTGGTCCATGTGGCAGGGCTGCTTGACCACGGCATCTCTGCAATTTGTCGCCAACAGGGTGATCGGCAATCAAAGACGTACAGTACATCTCCACACCGACCTTGAACTTGATGCACTTGACCCCTTTGTGCATCAGCAAGTATCGGACAGTTCAAAGGACAAGGTGCATTGTTGTGGAGAATTAGGTGAATAGAAGCCACAAACTGCGTTGCAATCACTATATAACCATTACTAACGGACGGACGGATGAGGCCCTCATCATCTGCACCAGGTGGTGTCTTATCCAAATCTAAAAAACCTGATAAATGAATGTACTTGATCGAGCAATCTAAAACTCCCTGGGCGACAAACTTGCTGATTTGGGCGCAAGAGCTAAGACTTCAGTCTGCAGTGTATAGTGCAGTGGCTAGTTGTAGACTTAGATGCAGAAGGCAGAAAGTAAAAACCCTTGAGATGCGTTTTACAATTTATTGTGTACTGGGGAATCTCGAACAGCATCGTGCCTAGATATTTAGACTTTTTGATGATGGGTGGAGAAGAAGTGATGATTGAACCACACAGCCAAAATCTCTCCAGAGAACCACAGTGTACAGCGTAATTACCTGTCAAGAGAAGATGAGAAGTTGGGTCCCACATCAATACATATGTGGTGGGAAATTCACCAAATAGAAGTAATCCTAGTGGGGCGTCAGCCACCGATAGACACATGTCACACATTAGTGATATTAATATGGCAAAGCATTATAGTAGCTGGCCTAGCTTCAATTAGAGCGTGAAAGGTGGAAAAGGTGAAGGTTGGGGCAGGCTTGTCATTCCAGGTCGATATGCAGTTCTCTCTATTCCCATATTTGCCATCAATTCGGTATAGTCCATCAGGATCTTCTGATCGAATACCCATGTCTGGATAGTCCAAAACAAGAAACCTTCAGGGGTCACGGAGTGCTTCTTAAACCACTTTGAAGAATCTGAGACGCTGACCATGTGGCTTTCAAACGCCGCCCTCCTCGCTTCGATATGCGCACAGCCTTCGGCACCTGGGAGGGGACGCTCTTAGAGTCGAGGAACGACGAGTGTATATATATATATATTATATATAGAGAGAGAGAGAGTAAAAAATGAAAAGAAAATGGTGAGGCCCCTTTTAATACAGCCTCTTTAAGGGAGGCCCTATTGAAGGGATGCAGGATGCCTTACTGTCCTTTTTCCTCTCTCTTAACAAACTCACAACGGACTCCAATCGACTCTGTGCGTTCCACACCTTCGCGGCAGCAGCCCGGGCACCTGGTGTTCCACTTCCTTGACCTAGGTACGTCATGCTACATGGTTCACATAGTTTATTTGTAGTTTTCGGCCTGGTGGCTCTTAAGGTCACAACCTGGTGTCACCTGTTGTTTCGCTTTCATTGGCTCATCCATTGACTTGCTCCTCCACACACCCAACTGATCGAACTCCATAGCCAAAATTTCTCGCCAAGCACCTCCTGGTGCTTGCACTCGCCGCAGCAGAGGCAGACTGGCAAATCCCATGGCAAAAAAGCAAGATGGAGCCCACGAACCCGAATGCAAACACGTACTCGAAAACAAACGCCCAAACATTTTTTGACACTCTTGTAGGAGACACTCTTGTAGAACGCTCTTGTGGGACACTCTCGTGCGACACTTTCGTCACTCTGTGGCACTCTTAAAACACTCTTGTAGGACACTCTTGTCGGACACTTTTGCCGGACATTCTTGTGGGACACTCACGTACGACACTCGCATGCTCAGATGTAACTTGGCCACATAAGTTGACAGTTCTGAGGCCACAGCTCCCAGAAGCTGCTTCCCGTACGTTCTACCGCTGCCAGAAGCTGCTGGCAGCGCTACATTTGTACTACCAAGTGGCCAGTTCTGAGGCCGAGCTCCCACAACCTGCTTCCCGCGTTGCATGTGTACTGTACTACATGTGCACTACCAAATGCAGTTCTGAGGCCACAGCTAAAATTGCCACGGACCAGAAGCCGCTTCCCGGACGTGGCCTGTCCTGGCTGCCAGGAGCGAGCTACAAGTTGCCACTTCTGAGGGACACTCTTGTGGGACACTCTGGTGGGAAACTCTTGTATGACACTCTTGTGAGACAATATTGTAGGACTCTCTTTCGGGACACTCTTGCGGAACACTTTTGTCGGACACTCTTGTAGGACACTCTTGTCGGACAGTCTTGTCGGAAATTCTTTTCGAAAAGTCTTGTGGGAAACTCTTGTGGGACACTCTTCTACATTACAAAACTCTTGCGAGACACTCTTGTAGGACACTCTTGCGGGAAACTCTTGTGGGACAGTCTTGTAGGGTGCATTCTTGTCGGAAACCCTTGTGGGACACTATTGTTCACTCTTGTCGGACACCTTGTATGATATTCACTCTTGTGGGACACTCTTGCGGAACACTCTTGTATAGGACACTCTTGTGGGACACTCTTGTAGGACACTCTTGTCCGACACTCTTGTGGGGCGCTCTTGTAGGACAATCTTGTCGGGCACTCTTGTGAGACACTCTTGCGCAACACTCCTGTAGGACACTCTTGTGTGACACGCTTGAGGGACACTCTTGTGGAACACTCTTGTGGCACACTCGTGTAGGGCACTCTTGGGACACTCTTGCGGAACACTCTTGTAAGACACTCTTGCGGGTCACTCTTTTGGAACACTCTTGCATGGCATTCTCGTGGGACACTCCTGCGAAACACTCTTGTAGGACACTCTTGTGGAGCATTTTTGGGTTACTCTTGTAGGGCTCTGTAGGACACTCTTGCGGAACACTCACTCTCGATGGCCTGACTCTCATCACAAATGTCCTCATACTGGTGGATGGTGTTGATGACATAGCCATGGTCCTCCTCATCTTCGGCCTCGTCGTGAGTGGCGATGTTGTAGTACTCCACCGAAGACCTCGGGCTCTCCTGGATCACTCGAAGTGAGCCAGTCAGTGAAGTCTCTCTCAGATCACAAACTGCTGGCTGCGCCACTCGTAGCGCTCGTCAAAGTCGTGGGTGGAATCGACCCCTGCTGGCTATTGGAGGTCACACTCTGGGTTGTAGGAGCCTCCACTTGACGGACTTGCCAGCAATCTTTCGACATGTGGGGCCCAGCTTCCCACACGTCCAGCACACTTCACTTGCGCCTTTCCCTTTTCCTCCCTTCTCCTTGCCTCCCTTGCCCCTTGCCAATCTTGGCATGCCCTTGTCTTTGCCCTTCTCGGTCTTGCCCTTGCTCTTGCCCTTTTGGTCTTTGCCCTTCGACTTCCCCTTGTCTTTTCCTTTCTGTTGCAAGCGATCCACCTCCATGGGCATAGGACCCTGATCTGCTCCAGAGGAAGTAGGGCTCGTGAATGACAATGCACCGGCCTCATTCCACTTCGTGGTCGCATTGTCGAAGGCAACGATGGCCTCTCGAACCTGGGCATACGTTGAACCCTCATTCAGGGCAAGATTCAGATGAGGATGGCGGCCTTCATATCTTGGCTGAGCTTGCCTCCCAGCTCCTCGTACTGGTGGTAGTGCTCCTCCAACTTCAGAATCTGAGGCAGCAGCGAAATCTTCATATTGAAGATGGGGTAGGCCATGATGCCTTGAAGTAAGCTCATGGTACGATTCCTGGCATTGGGTTGACAATTGCTCAGGGGCTGACAAAGGGCTTCGTAGCCGTTGAAGTTCTCCACATTGCGGATCAGCCCAACCAATCTGCCCTGCACCAGGCTGCCGAGGAGGCTGTAGAGGAACCGGCCACGTTGTCGTTCAGCTTCTGAAAGAAGATACCAATCAACCTCCGTGTTCAGGTTACCTTCAATACGCTCAACCTCATCTTGATAAGCTCCATCCACCACCAAGAGGTATTGTTTCAATCCCCAGTACCAGTCCCTGGGCCGTCCAGTGCTCCTCAATGAAGTAGCTGAAGACCGGGATGTAGGCAAGGGGGTGCGGCAAGGTACTTCAATCACCAGGTCCAATTAGTCTGAAGCACCGAGAGCGAGCGACCTGCCACACTAGCTCTATGGAAACAGCACGGTCGCAGCTCGAGACCTTGGCCCGAAGGGATGGGGTCCTGTCCCTGAATCTGCCGCTAGGAGCAGGAGATGAAATCAAATCCCGATCACGGCTCCGCTACCATGCGAGCAGATATTTGATCTCGAAAGGGGTCTGCGGTTATGCTGGAGTTGAATGGCTTGTGTTTGCCACTTTCCAAAAGCTTCGCCCAATGTGAGCACCATAGCGCCCTACCGCGAACGGTTGCGAACGGTTGACAACGGTCGTGAACGCTAAGACAATGAGTCGCGAACAAGACTCTACTGCCAGACCCCCAGAGTTAAACGAGAATGTTCGCTACGCATTCGGGAACAGTGTCACAAGAGCTCATTCTCAAAAAAAATATTTCCCTTAGGGATGTGCCTCGCTACGACCACGCTGCGTCCTGGATATCTTGATGTTACAAGGCTGAGGGACTGCAAAGCTCAGAACACGGAATTGGACCTCATTGAGGCACACACGTCTCTTTCTCCTTTTTCCTCTTGTGCCGCACCTGGTTCCTGCCAGTTCGAGCATCGAACGGTGGTAAGTTCACCCAAGGCTTACATAGACGTGCGTCTTACCAGATGCTGGATCCAAAGAGTCACAACGTGAAACTCAAAGTATCAAAGCCAAACTAAGAATTCTTGATGAACATACTTATTCTGATTCTGGTCCATGCTTTGAATACACATTTCGATCAACCTTCAGCGACTTGCATTCTTGGCAAAGCGGAAGCGGCTAAAGCAGGGCCTCTCATGTTTCAGCCTCAGCATCCACCCAAACAAAGGTTCCACGACTCGAAAGGCATAAAGCCTGAAACGAGGCTTCACAAAATAAGTTCAGGAGCCTATCCCCAACTGGGTCCTTGTATCATGTCGCCCTCCAAGGAAGAGGACACATGCCTTCTCCTTGTGCACCCTCCCCACTCCGTCTGCTAAATATGATTCAACTACTGTCCCCTCACATTCAGTCTTAGACTTGCGTTGCCAGGTGACCTTCCTGTCAGGCTCATTCAGTTGTTGACAACTTCAAGTGTCTCTTCTTTCGATCAACTCAATAGCTGACTGTGCGCACAAAAACTAATTCATTTGCCCCGCCATGTTTACCACTCACTTGCGCCACCAAAGGTTACAAACTGCATGGAAAGTTTACATTGCCGGGGCCGCCAGCCACTCATTTGCCTCCCCATTCTTGGAAGCATGCTCGCTGCCATGTTGTCGATCTGACTCACCTACGACCCACAGAGGTGTTGATGTTCCTTGCTACGAAGATGACTCTGCTTTGTGAATGAGCTTGCATGTTCATATCAGCGTGAGGTGGGTGGCCATGAAAATGACTTTGCTTTGTGAGTAAACTTGCCTTGGCGCTCCTCTGGCGAAGCGTTGAATGTACGATAAACGATGTTGGCATTGTGGTGTTTTTGCATTGTTGCTGTCACTGATGCGTCCAGCAGTCCCTTTACACTTTACACGTACAAATGGGGGCACAAGCAAAGCGAGTTTGCAAGTCAGCCCAATGAGCCCTGTGGTCCCTCCCTTCTAGCAAACAAAAAGTTTGCGCTCCAGTAGGCTTTCGTGAACGGGGCGATACAGAGCGCCCTGGTCCTGAGCTTGAATAGAGTTGCAGAACAAAGCACTGGCTGATCATGGTAGTGTCTTGCACGTTCTTGAGGGCTGCTGAACTTATGATAATATTGGCAACTGCGAGTTTTTGATTGATTGGTGTCTACAATCGCTCCTTGCAAGCCTCACATTCGATGGGCAATCCTCCTTACCTAGCTCTTGGTTGGACTGGAAACCTTTTGAGTTTTTAACCTTGGTTCTATCCAGCATTCCCATACATACAACCAATACAGTTTGGGAAGCTATACTGGCTGCTAAGGACATAGGATTTAGCGGAAGTGCCTGAAAATCTCAAGTCCTAAGATAATGCAAAAGCTGAAGAGGCCACAAGACCTGACCTAGCCTTCGGATAGAAAAATCACAGAAATAGAGCCCATATGTCCATTCAAGAGAACTCGAGAGGTGTCAGTGTATGAATGCCCACCACTAGAGATGCAAATTAAAAGTTGCAAAACTTGCAAGAAACAAAAAGGTGACCAACTGGCCGATTCTAAGACAAACAGGTGAAGCCGCAGGTTGACAAGATCAGTCTATATGACTACTCTCTACCCTTTTCCAATTCCTCTTCCCCTGTCCTTCTTTTCCTTTGCTTTATCGTTTTCTCTGCCTTGCCTTGTCTCTTTCCTTCTCCCTTCCCCTGTCCCTTCCTTTTCCTTTTCCGTGTTTGTTCTTTTCCTTGCCGTCTTCCTTTCGCCCTTCGCTTCTCCCTTCCCTGCTCCCTTTCCCTTCCACTTCCATCCGTCTTATTTCCTTGTCGTTTTTCCTTTGCCCTTCCCTTCTCCTTTCCCTTCTCCTGGCCCTTCTCCCTTCCCTTCCCATTGTCTTGCCTTTTCTCTCATTTGGCCTTTCCTTCTTCCAATCTCCGTTGCATTCCCCCTCCTTTTTTCATTCCCTTCTTCCTTCCCTCTTCCTTTTCCCTTCCTTTTCCCTGACCTGCTTCCCTTCTGTTTCTTGGGCCTTTCCCTTTCCTTTTCCTTCTCCTTTTCAGAGGCAAAGTCGCACATCCCATAACATGTTGACAAGCTTCAACGTGCTTCGAACTGTCCTCGAAGAGGCTACCGGAATTGTCGCTTGTGGAGGAAAGACTGCTGACCAGTAGATGCTGCATTTTCTCTTCAGCTCTTTGGACATGGAAAGGTACACTTCCCGCATTCTAAACCTTAACTCCCTCGCATTCTAGATCTCTTTTTTGGCTTTCTCCGCACAAAATAACGGTTAGGCAAGCTGGGGTGGACATGTTTAATTCTGGGGCCTCAGAACATTCTATGTTAGTGTGACTGAAGATTGGGAAACCAAGGTGACATTCACAGTTTTACTCCGGCGGTATAACATGTTCACCACAGATTCCAGGACCGCTACGTTGTTAATCCAAAGCTGTGCGAAGCTAAAAGAAACAATTGTCGCTTAAGTCTTTGACTTCTTCTTGGTCAACACTCGCCGGTGCCTGCTCAACGTCTGTCCATGGTAGGAAAATGGACAACCGGTGCTTATCAGCCTTCGGAACATGCCTTGTGAGTCAATGCATCCAAATAAGTGCAGCCTGTAAAAGAGAAAGGCAGGCTGCCTGCCAGTCTTGTTAGCTGCAGCAAGTGCATCTGCCTTGCCCAGTGAGCAACACTCGTTCGCCACAATTGATCAAAAAAGAATTCGTGCTTGCAGTGTTGGTGCCTTCGCTGCTTGCAGTTGTGCTTTGCTTGCCACACCTGGGCACAGAGTATGGTCGACGTCTGATTCGGTAACCAAACGGTCTGATTCGGTAACTATGATTCGATAACTAAAAGCGCTGATTCGATAACTAAAAGCGCTGATT